TGTAAATCAAAAGTCATCAGCTTTCAAGAAGGAATCCATCCTGCCCTCCCACAAGAAAAACCAGTTTAAAAGCCAAGAAAGGGAGTAAACACTCCAGATGCTGATGTAATGTGGCCTCTGCTGGCCTTTACCAATATGTAACCTTTCCCACTCTCAGTCTCCCCAGTGTGAACCTACCCCCACGGGAGTGAAGAGCATTTACTAAAAAAATGAATGCAGAGTGCCAGGACAAATCCTGGTAACTAAATGAATTCAGTTCATAGTGAACTCTTCCTGTACTTTTCAAGTGATATGAGCCCACATCATGTGCATTCTCCCAAGCTGAGCGATCTTTCCCAGAAACGGTAAAAATCAATCTTCATTTTGGCTGAATCTCCTTACCTTTTCTTTTAGATCAGTAAGAAAAAAGTTACAGAGGATAAACTGCCAGCAGTCATCCTCTTTCAACAGCAACCACTATGTCAGTGTACTAATAACCAAGTCCAATTACAAGCGGCAGCAGCTCTAAGTCAAAATCCCACACACTGTAACTAGTCCAAGGAACCAATACAGACTTTAATAATTAGTCTACCTGCACTTTCCCACGGTTATTCTGGGCCCCATCAATCAAGCCAATCAAGGCAGTTGGGGTGATGTTTTCATTTTGTAATAATTAGTAAATTACAAAAGCAATACCTACACTATTTTAATTGTTAAGGATCTAAGAGGCCTTTTATGTGAATTTTCTTACTTCTAAAAGGGCAGCAGACATTTTCACATCAGTGCACAGCACTCAAAATAAGCATGAGACCCACCAGCAACTGAGGCCAATGGACTAGTAACCGAGGCCTCCAGCTGTAGTCCAGGGCCACATGGCTCAGGGTCCCTGCGGGGTGTGGGGGCAGGGGTTAATGTAAGATGCAGATACCCGAGCCCCATTTTAAACCTGCCCTGGATCAGACTTGATGTTCAGGGTGGAGTGTAGAAATGTGCATTTTAAAAGCTCCCTAGGTGCTACGTGGTGCACAAGAGCCCAAGAATCACTACTAGAGGTATTCTCTCAGCTCTGAGCCATCTCCCCAGGCTGACAAGTCTCCCAGCCACTACACAACTGACTCTTGCTGGGAAACCTGGACTGTTCTTTCTGGTACCTCTTCCAAAGGCAGATAAAGCCAGAACAACTGCTTATTCCGCAGGGCTGCCACCCACAGTCTCGTCTCTGCTACCCTGTGAAGTGATGGTGGATATGAGTAAGAACAACACTCAAACAAGGATACTGCGCACTGGGAATACAGAGCGCAGAGACAAAGGCCCCACACAGCAAGCGTGGGAGTGCCACGGAGCTCCCTGGGGACAACCATCAGACAGAGGTGAATGGCTTTAGGAACACACACACTCTTTGACTTTGCAATTCTAGTTCTAAGCCGTTGTAAACTTTACTGAAGAATAAAAATAACCTAACTAAACGGAGATAAGTACAATGTTCCTGATTGGGAAGACTGAGGATTAGAAACATGTCACTTCTCCCTAAGTGCAATCTATAAATGAAAGCAATCCAATCAAAATCCCATTGGAATGTTTAAAAACAGAACTTGAAAAACTGATTCTGAAGCTCATATGAAAAAAATGAGTGCACGACAAAGAAATCTTTAAAGTAAATGAGAAAAACCTTTGAGCTATCGAAATATACCACGAAGCTGTAGTGATTAAAATGGAGTGATACTAGAACAGGTGCCAACAGAAGATCAACGAATCAGAAGAAAACCTGGAAACAACCCAGACCTTTCGCCACGTGCATGTGCACACATGAGCAAGCATACACCCAGTTCTCTGGCCCACTTTGTAAGCTTTTTTCTCAGGCATGTGTTTTTCTGCATCTTGTGTTTTTGTACATATTTTTGTATATGCTTTTTTGTACAAAAAGAGAGGGAGTATTTCTTTAGGGTATAGTCCTAAAAGAGAATTTGGGGTCAAGGGGTACACACATTTAAAATTATGATGGCGTGACGGATACCACCAACATCTGACCACGGGAGTCCCTGCCTTCTTGCTGACACTGAGTAGCACTCACCTTTTCAGTGTTGGCCATTTGTGACTTGCCATTTTACCTCCTTTGCTCGGTTTTCCTCAAGCCACTTGTTGCTCACTACCTTACAGAAGGCCTCTATTTTGAACGCTGTAGGTACTTCCCCCCACCTGTCACTATTCTCAACTTTCCTGGGGCATCATTTCCCATACAAGACTGTTAATATTTCCTATTGTCAGATCTATCAATCTCTGTGGCTTCTGGTGCAGTGACTTGCTCAGGAAAACTCTCCTGAGATAAGCTTGTTTCCTACACACGGTGGGTTGTAGACAGCTGTCCCGGCAAGAGAAGGGGCCACACCAGAGGTACACGTTCCTCGATGGCCTCAAAGACGACATCTGGGGCGGGTGCAGGAAGGGTTGTGGCACAGGGACAGGTTAAGGCACCAAGTACTTGAGGAAGGCAGGAGCTCAGTGCCCACGTTTCAGGGTGGGAGACAAGAAGGACAGGGAAGTAGACGTTGCCATCACATAATAACCCATGCACACCATTTATAACTCTCTGCATCCCATCAGGGGCCTTGAAAACTGAGCAAGCCTCAAACATAAGGCCAAAAATATGTGAAGCAGTAGTAACCAAACTTTGCTGAGCAGCAGAAACACAGAAACTAAGCTGGTCATTTAAAATCTCCTGGCAAACAAAATACGAGACAGAACTGGGGACTTCCTGAGTTCCTGACTTGCACACCTGTACTCAACAGGCTGCACCTTTCTGGTCAGACGGACATTCCCACATGGCCCTTAGGTTCTGGTGAAACGCACCCGTCGCACCCTGGCCACCGAAGGGAAGAGCTCACAGCATCGCTCTGCCGGTCTCTCTGCTCATCTCACCCACAAAGAACCAGAGCTCATCACCCAGAAGGCTTGAAAAACAGCGATTTAGGCAAAAAAGACAAAAAATAAAGCACATAACCCTTTTCCTGCCCTACCACTCTATTTAGACTAAAACAGAGGGGTTAAGATGGCACTGAATTTTATCTTGGCAGTTTCACGTTAGTTTTCAATAGGTTCTACATACACACCTTTAAAAAATTCTCACATTTTAATTACAATAAGCAAGTATTCAAGTAATGAGAGACCTGTTTATCAGAGACATTTTCTGATTTAGGATGGATGCCTCAAATGCCATGTAAGTGTAATCAAGCCGACGGCACTGGGACACACAGCTTGAGTCATGCACTGAGGCCAGGGCGGCCATCTCTGGCTGGTTGGGGACACTGGCCACAGTGAGCTCTTCAAAGGACACTCCCCCAGTGACCACGCATCAATAGCGCCTCCCAGCTTCCTTGGAACAAACACCCACAATACATAGAACCAGAAGACGGAAGGCCACAAGAAAGCATGCCCGTCACGAAAGAGCTCAGAACGTCACTGCCAAAACAGCCCAGAGAAGTGCTACCGTCAACAGCAGGCCTTGCCGAGTAGCTCTTAGATGAGACACATTCTCTCACGGAGAGGGTTACTGTCCCTCACCCATCCATTATGGACACAAGCTTCCAAAGCTGATACAAATGCTGTGGAAATATCAGGAATCAATCTGCCAAAAATGAACAAGCAAGCAAATAAGTAACAAATGGGTTTTTAAAGGAATTACTGAAGCAAAGCAAGAAAGATAACAAAGGTTACACGCTCTGGGCCTAAATGCTTTTTAAATTAAGGGGAAAATGACTAGGTTTCAACATATACATAACCAAATCAATCTTAATATGAAAATTGTTTCTTGATTCCTGTGCCTACAAGATAACGAACGCTTCCCAAAGCAAGTAAGAGAGGGCAATGAAGAAGTCAGGAATCAGGAATGCACACAAGGCTCTTTCTGGTTCTGATTTTATTAAGAGTGGCATCAAGTCCTTCTCCAGCAGGTCAACCGAGCTAGGGGAATCTACTGACACTGTCCACTTGCACAATGGACTCTTTGCATTGCGAGTTTAACAGTCTAAGCCTGAAGAGGATTACAGCAGGCTTCGACAGCCAGCATCAGCAGTCTCCTGAAAGGCTCATGGTCCAATAACCGAGCATGTCCTCCAGGGTGTGGTGCTCCCCGCCGACGAAAGTCCTAGGACCCGGAAACGGTTCTGCACCATAAGTGAATTCTGCAACACAGATGCCTTCTCTACTGAGGAGAGGGAACTCTGCTGCATTAACCGTAGCATTAACCGTAGACAGTACCCTACAATCACGGCACACGCAGCCTGGCAATCGGGCATTGTACCCAGAAGGATAAAGCCACTAACTCCACTTTCAATCTGTCATTCTACCAAGTTTCTTCTCATAAATAATTTATGCACAGATAAACCGTCTGTGTCTCTACATAGAGAGGCGGGTGTGCAGCTCTGACCACTGAGACACCCGTGGTCAGTGTGCAGTGGTAAACGTGACAACCATGCATCAATGTCACCCACAGGTGCAGAAACCAAGCACCAGCAATGGCAGAGCCCAGTTTACTGAAGAGCCTTGTAGAGGCTTCCCCCTCCTTCCTCTCACCAGCTCCACTATTTTACGTCAACTAGACCTAGACAGAGCACTCCCTTTTAGTAAATACCACAGCTCCATTTCCAGCAAGTCGAAACCCAGCGTTGCCTCTAAGGGGATAAACAGATGGCCCAGAAGGAGAACCACATTAAAATATGATGCTGACGAGGGGAGGAATGAGAAAATAAGCCTAGGCACAGCGCTGCTCCCCAAGATCCCGGCAACACCTTCAACAAAGCCAGGCGTCAGGCAGCCATCACCAGGCCCCACTTCTCTGTGAAGGGTCCAGAGAAAACTCGAGCTCTTTTCCTACCTCAGACCAGCAGGTCTAGTCTCTCAGGGCTCTGCAGTCCACGCTCCTCGGAGCCCCAGATTCTACAAGATCCAATTGCGTCTCCTGAACTCAGAGTGCTGGCATGGGACAGAAGCTGGCCCAGAGGTCGGGCTCGTCACCCAGGCCTTACCTGACTTGCTCCCAGGTCTTGGTGGCCAAATGCAGGACCCACAGATCCTTGTAGTGGTAGAACTGCTCTCCGTCGGGAGAAGCAAACTCCCCTCCAAAGATCCACAACTGTCCGCCACCTTGAGGCACCACCACCGCCTGTTAAGAGAGGTGACAGGTTAGGATGCAGCTCTCTGCCAGCTCCATGAGTGGGGACCAGCACTGGCACCATCTACCACAGCACCACACAGGGTAGTTTCAGCCGGCACGCACACTCGGCCATCATCTTCTGCCTTTGAGGGGAAAATTCCTGAAAAATTCCTCATACAGCAAATCCGCCTAAGTCAAAAGTCTAATAAACTTTCATGCATTCCTGGTTGCAAAATTAACATCCACTTAGATTTAGACAACCCCATATCCCATTAAAAGGGACACATTTATGTCAAAAGTTCACATTAGTTATAACACAAACTGACAGTATTTTCTTTTTATTAAATATCTATAATAAAGCTGTTTACTTGCCCTCATTAACCCCTTTCCTAGCTATTAAGCACTGTATACCTAAAACTACACTAATGAATAACATATGTGTACTTGGGAATGCTTATGTAATGTTATTAACGTTTATTTTTAAAAGATTTAAGCATAACAGTAAAGGCAAACAGAAGCAGGGAAAATGATGCCTTCAGGCCACCCGCTGCAGGAAGCGCTCACTATCCTGTATCCTGAACAGCCACTGTCAGCACGGGAGAAGCAGAAGAGAGAGCAGCACGTAAGCCATGCCAACCAGGCACCATGCAACATCAGACTTTCGAGACCCACATGTGCACATTTCAAAGTATTACTGGGCTTAGCAGAATATCAAAACACTTACAGAACAAACGGTCCACAGACACATCATGAACCAATGTGGCGATCTGAGGGGGGAGGTAACTGAGGATGGGAACTCCAGGGCTCACATCCCATGAGCAGAATTATACTTCACATTCTCAAGGTTACTCATTAACTCATCAAAGATGAAGCAAGAACACCCAACATCCCACACTCCGCATCAGAAATACAAGGACGAAAACACAAGACTTTGCCCAAGCCATCCTGGTGTTCCTACAGTGACCACGTGGTTGAGTTCTCCATCACCCCACAGAAAGCTCCGTCTCCACGAGGTGAGGGCAATGTTGACTCTCGATGGGGATTGCTGTGCTAGATCCCCCTTAAGAGGAGAAAAAGCAAGTCAAAGTGTGTGATTAAAAAGGCCTTTCCAGGGCCGGCCCCGTGGCTTAGTGGTTAAGTGAGCGCGCTCCACTGCTGGCGACCCGGGTTCCGATCCCGGGCTCGCACCGACGCGCTGCTTCTCCGGCCATGCTGAGGCCGCGTCCCACATACAGCAACTAGAAGGATGTGCAGCTATGACACACAACTATCTACTGGGGCTTTGGGGGGAAAAAATAAATAAAAAAAAAAAGGCCTTTCCAGAAAAGGAAAAATATCTGTAAGGGAACATATCTCAGATTGCCAAAGTAAGAGCAAATGCTATTTCACATAAGATAACCCTTACCAATGCAAATACAAGAAACACAGATTTGGAGACTTTTAAAGGCAATTTATAGACTATCTAGTCCAGGGCTTTGGCGTTTTGGGTTGGATTGCTGAAGCAGTGGAATTCTTTCTCCAAACAAAAGCCTAAGTGAAGATAAAAGGTGGCACAAATAAAACGGGAACCCCTCCCCTAGAATTCCAGAAGCTCGCCTCCTCCTCACCCCATGGACACTCCGATTCCTAGCCCTGACCTCGTTTGGAACACCTGGCCTGTCTCGTCTCCTTCTCAGGGCCTGCCTTCTCTGAGGTTCTGCTGAAGGCCCAGGACTCAGAGGCCACATCAGAACCACCCATGACCGCCTGAACCCACCAGAACCACACAACCCACCGGCTGGTCAGTGACGGACAGAGCCCTCCTCTGTCGAGAACTCATTCAGTGACGTACCACTTGGTTCACTGTTTCAATGACAGTCACAACTTGCCTCGTTTTATGGTTAGCTAACCCATAAACCGAGTGTGTGAGGTTTTTCCATTTCACGGAAATGACTTCTCCTGTTAAGTACCCCAGAAACGTGGGGTGTAATGCTCAGTCAGTCAACCCTTGGCACAGAGCAGGCACTGGGCCAGCCTGCCCTGGGAGTCACCAGCCACGGGGTCCAGGCAGCAAAGCAGATCACGTGGGCATGTCCCTCATGCCAAGGGGGTGCTGATGGGAAACAACCGAGGGGCCTTCTGGCCAGGAGCTTGGAAGCAGAGGCCACAGCAGCAGGCACAGTGTGGCCGGGGCGGGGGAGCATGTCAGGTGCTGCTGGATGCCAGGATGCTCCTGAGCATTCTGTGTGAATGCCTACCTGCTCTCACAGACATCCACACAAAAGCACCCACTGGGCAGGTCAGACGGTGCTTCCCAGGAGGCTCCATCTGTGGGCACCCTCTGAGCACCCCAGAGCTTCCACTGCAGCGCAGGTCCTGCACCCTGCCTAGAGCTTAAGAACACTGCAGAACTGCGGCTCTGTCTCTGATGCCGCTCCTGCCCTGGACTAACTGGAGAGTCCTGGTGGCATACTTATGGTTGACACGACCCCCCCACTCCATTTTCAGTCAGTTTTGTGTGCATCACCTCAGCACAGATGACTGACCTATAAAGGGACAAGCCAGTTTCCTATCACTCTAAAACCCCCGTAGTGCTAGAGGAAAGAAACTCATCATCTCAAGTCTTTAAAGCAGACATGATGATGAGCTCAGGCCCAAATCTAACACATTTTTTTAGTTTTAATGAAGTTAGGTGGTACATTCATGTTACACAATACAATGGAGTTTTGTAATATCATGTTATAGAAGACAATTTAATGCCACAGGATAATACTACAAATAATGCATCAAATGGAAAGAACAATCTAGAAAAAATGTGTGAATATATGTATGTGTATACATGTATGTATTCCAACGAATATGAAATACAGATGTGTAGAAATACAAATTATACGTCAGAGAAAAGATGCAAAAAATTTAAATTAGCAGTTCTGGAAGAATGGACATGGACTTTTCCTTTTTATTCTTTTCATTTTTTTCACAATAAATATTTATTACTTACATAATCGGTTTTTAAAGTCATTCTTAAAAAATGAAGTCAAACTCCAGGCAAGAAAACAGAGACTGTAAAAAAGCCAGAGCTCGTCTTCCACATCCCATCCCCCATCTCTGTCACAGTAACAGGCCCTCGTGTCAGGACTCTAGGGACCATATGAAGGCGGATTGATGGCCAGTGAGGGCTTTGTATTAACTACTCTTCAAAGATAGTGAACATAAAGAAAAAATTAACACATTCCTCAAGAGAAGATTAAATCCATAAAGACACAGGCATAAAACTTCCACTCCTGACCAGGACGGAGCAACAGGTACCACACCAGCCCTCCCACTGTAAACCAGGAGCCAACTAGACAAAATCCATGAAGCAATACAATCAGACAGAGGAAGGAAAACATGAACATAATAAATAAACATGGAAACAATAATCACGAACCAAACAACTTCTAGAGCTGAAGAATACTGTATGTAAAATGAAAAACTCACAAGTTCACAGCACATCCACTGACCATGAAGGGCAATAAAAGCCATCCAAAATGAAGACAAAAGAGAAAAAAGACTGGGGAAAAAACAAAGGACAGAGATACACTGCCCGTTGGATAACATTAAACAGTCTAACATACATGTAATAGAACCCCCCAAAAATCACAAAGGTACATCAAAATCAAATTGCCGAAAAACCAAAGACAAAGAGAAAATCTTTTAAGCAGCCTTAGAGGGGAAAAAAGACACACTGAATACAGGAGATTAAGATGAGAATGACCACTGACCTCTCACTAGAACGATGTAAGCCAGAAAACAGAACATCTTTCAAGTGCTAAAAGAAAACAGCTGTCAACCTAGAATTCTGTATCTAGCAAAATATCCTTCAAAATGAAAGTAAAATGAAGACATTTTCACTTAGAAAAAGAGCCGAAGAAAACTTGTTTCTAGCAGACCTGCACTTCAAGAAATGGTAAATGAAGTTTTAAGCTGAAGGAACACATTACCAGATGAAAACATAGATCTACACAAAGGAATGAAGTGAGTTAGAAATGGTAAATTTGTAAATCAATGTAAGATATTTTTCTTTCTCATTTTAAAATTTCTTTAAATAATAACTGTCTAAAACTAAAACAATAACATTGTATTGTGAGGCTTCTAAAATATATGGAAAAAAAATATATGACAACAACAGCACAAAGGATGGAAGAAGAAAATGTGGGCCTTCTAGTGTAAGGTTCTCACAGCTTATGAGAAGTGGAATAATATCACTTGAAGACAGACTGTCTCAAGTTCATGTATACAGCAAACCCTAGAGCAACTACTACAACAAAACATAAGCCAACAGAGAAGATAAAAAGGGGACATTAAAATACAACCAACGCAAAAGAAGGTAGAGAAAAAGGGATACAGAACAAATGGGACATAGAAAACAAACAGCAATATCAAAAACATGATTGACAGCCATATCAATAAGAACATTAAATATAACAGACAAATATACCAACTAAAAAGCAAAGACTGTCAGACTGGATACAAAAACAAGACCCAACTATGGTGCTGTTTACAAGAAATGCACTTCAAATGTCAAGACACAAATGGGTTAAGAGTAAAAGGATGGAAAAAGATATACCACACAAACACTAATCCTAAGAAATCTGGGGTGGCTGTGCAGACAAAGTAAACTTCAGAATATTATCAGAGATAAGTCAATAATGATATGGACGATGTGAAGACTATCAATCAACTTGACCTAACAAGGACGCTACACACAACAACTGGAGCTTTCACATTCCTTTCAAATATGCACAGAACACGTACCAAGACAGACCATATGTTCAGACATAGTATAACTCTCAAAAAATCTTTTCAAAGGATTGAAATCATACAAAGTGCCCTCTGACTGCAACAGAATTAGAAATGAATAACAATAAGGTATCTGGGAAATCTCCAAATATTTGTAAATTAAACAACATACATCTAGATACTGTAACCCACGGGTCAAAGAAGACATCTACAAGCAAATTAGATCATTTCAATCTGAATAATAAAACACATCAAAATTTGTGGGATGCAGCTAAAGCAGTGCCTAGAGGGAAATGTATAGCTTTAAATGCTTATATTAGAAAAGAAGATTTAAAATAAATGATCTACGTTTTCACCTCAAGAAGCTAAAAAAGGCAAATTAAACCCAAAGTGGAAGGAAGGAAACAATAAAGAGTAAAAATTATTGGAAAAGAAAAATGTGTAAACAACAGAGAGAAAAAAATGAACCCAATGTCAGGAAAATAGGAAAAACTATACAGAAATACTTGAACTAAACACAACTTCTGTTTGGGATCTAATGCTGAGATTTTTAAGTCATCTGGAACTTCTTCTACCTTCTTTCAAGAATGATTTCAAAATTGCTACATGAGAGGTACTACGTGAATTATCTCCCAAACAACTTCAAACGAGAACCATGTTTTAAAGATTAAAATGCAGAAGGTACCTTAATCACCTACTATAACACTAGTCATCTAATACAACGAGGAAATTCAAGTCAAAGAAATCAAGCAAATGACTGGTCACTAGTGTGCTGGTCACGCAGCAATGGCAGACCAACACCTGGGGTCCATACTTCCAGTTCACATCAATACAAAACAATACCCTAGAGAGAGACGCCCTTAAAATGTAACACTTAAAGATAAATCATGATAAAATAAATCTGTATTTCCTGCTAAATTTTTTTTTAAAGTTCTTAAGGAAATACATAATAAAGTCTTTCTTTACTTGCCATCCCTAAAGACAAAGAAAACGGATTTTAGAGAAAATAAATTCATCTTGTTTTCTTCCCTTATGCAACCAAAGCATGGGTATGACACATCTCGTTAGCATTTTGTTTTCTAGAGTTACTGATGATAAACTAAAACATCTTTACTAGTATTTTCTACAGAAAACTATTTTGCATGCATGTGTCGAAAGAGACAACAAAGAGAAGTCACACTATTGTAAAACTATATAGTTCACTCACCTTCAACAAGGTATGTTTTAAAATTCTAGCTATTTAAAATAATCTGCCCCGTTCAAATATTTTTAATTAGCTATTTAGGGGTAAAAACAATGATACAGCTCTATATAAAAGTAACAAAATAAGAAAAAAGAAAAACTTCCTGGGTTAAGAAAAGAATAATGAATGAAATGGCCAATCTGGGAACTAGCAATAGGATTTTATATCAAACTCAAAGGTTTTAATCTAATCCAAGTTAAATGTTATTTCCAAATTATTTCTATTTCATAACTGTTAAGCAAACGGAATGGAATAGTCTGGTAAGAGGGAACCTAGTTCAAATCACTGATCAGTGCCCAATTTCTCTAAGAACTTTACTTTTATCGAGGTCACTGTCAGGAAGAACTAATCTTATAATAAATATGCAGTACTCTAAAATACCTTGCAGTATAAGAAAAAAAAATTATTTGCTAAAGATACCCACAAAATGCAAATTCACCTCAAAACATAATACAAAAACAAGAGGTTTCAGGCCAATAAGGAAGTCTTAAGGAGGTTACAAGAAGTCACCACACTTTAACAAAACTACTTCCCATAATATCCTCCTAACATAAGCGTTCTTCTTCTTATAGAGGAGACAGCCAAGGTCTGAGCTGGACTACTGTGCCAATCTTCAGAAGACACCCAGCTGGACTCTGGAGGGAATGGCATCACCAGGCTGGAACAGGCTGGAGCCTGGCTTTCCCCTACTGGCTGCTTGCTCACCTCTGCACCGTCAAACCTACCGAGAGTTCATACCCCAGGCTCTCTCATGGGTGATTAATTTATGTGTTTGGGAAATAAAGTAACAAAAATAAAACACCTTTAAAAATATATACTCATAGCAGTTTTGAAGAAACTGTTTAAACCGACCGAAAACCAACACTCTCTGGATCTAAGGAAGGCGAAGCACCACCCCGCGAGCAAGTGACCGAGCTCAGAGGCACTGCCCAGGTGCCAGCGAGGCTCATCCTTGCCAGCAACCACCTTCCTACTTGTCCCACGAAGCTGAATGTTTCCCAGGCATTTGGGTTTTTTATTATTTGTCTTAATTGGAATAAAATCATGTCTGGAAAACCTTAAGTTCATAACTCTCCCACCAAATGCCAAAAAAGAGCCCAATGGAGTCCAAGATCCCACACAGACTGTGAACGGATTCCGACACCAGCTGCATGCTTCAGCTCCGTGAGAGCCAACACCTGACAAAGCAGGACACCATCAGGACCAGAGGAAACAGAATACAGGAGACCATCGGGAACGGCCAATTTGTCTTACTTGGTCACTGGTTCCCAGCCCTAGAATGGTGCCTCACGTGTAAAAGACGCTCAGTGTTTCAGAATGAACGAAACCAGGACTCCTGCAGTGCCGCCTCAGATGGACGGACTGAAGTTCTTATTGAGTTGGAGGCTAACACTTTCTGCAGCTCAAATGGACACTGTCAGTGGAACTCCACTTCTTTCACGAGTAAACCTTTTGTTTATATTAACTATTCTCCATAAACCACCTACTGCTCATTAACACAAAGGCCAATAAGAACACAGATGACATTTTTTTAACCACATGGAACTTTTTTTCTGTTTTATGAGACAATGCATTTTGTTTCAAGTGAGTGTTAGTTATTACTCTGGGAGAAACAAACCATCAAGTGAAGAAGAGGACATGAACTCAAGATCTTCACCTCCTCCTCCTCACCCATCCCTCAGTTCTCAAGAGTCTCTCTCCCTGCTGGCTGTCCCCAACAGCCCAGGAAGAAGAGGAGGAACACTCCCTTCTTCTCTCCCAGGAAAAGGTGGACGGAGAGGAGCACGCAGCTGAAGCATGCACCGGTCATTCTGTCCTACATCCAGCAGACATTATGACCTTTTACTCTCTCCCTGGGCTGTACGCATTTTAGAAAAGGCCATCTAAACTCTCAAACTACACACTAAAAATACTTCACCCCACCCCAATCCAGGATCTAAGAGAAAAGAATGCAGCGTGTATGTATAAGCTTTCTCTTTCTACTCCTTTCGTCCCCTAATTGACTGAAGACAAGATAAAGAACACAGCTTCTAACATCATATTCATAAACTAGTCTATAATGAGGAAACTCTTACATCCCAGAAGTTAACGCAGTAGAATTTGAAATACAATGACCTTTAGGCAAAGATTTTATAATAATTTACTGTTTCCCATTGCTCTGATTCATTGTGAAATTCACAAGTAAACAGCAAGCCAACCTTAATACCAGTACATCATTAAGCCATAAACTAATAAAGTCCTCCTAAGGCATGCCTATGACTCAGAGTCCACCAAGCATCCTGCCAAAATAACTGATTTAAAAAATCTCAGACTTTTTTTGTGTGTGTGTGAGGAAGATTAGCCCTGAGCTAACATCTGTCGCTAATCCTCCTCTTTTTGCTGAGGAAGACTGGCTCTGGGCTAACATCTGTGCCCATCTTCCTCCACTTTACATGGGATGCCGCCACAGCACGGCTTGACAGGTGGTGCATCAGTGCGCACCCGGGATCCGAACCCGGGGCCACCCAGTGAAGCGCGTGCACTTAACTGCTAAGCCACCAGGCCGGCCCCCTCAAAGACTTTTTAAGACACTAATTCTTCAACGACACAGTTTATAACTGTGAGTAAAATGGATAAGAAAATAAACACAACAGAAGCCCCTGAGGCTGCATTATGTGACGTGGGCACAGAGTGTGACTGCTCCATCAGGACATGAGCAATCGGGGCCCAGGAATCTGACGAGGCATCCGGGAGGGTTGGGGACTTGCAGTGCTCACCACAGGACAGGGCTCAGTCCTGAGCTTGGAGGGCTGGGGCAGATTATTCATTCTCAAGAACTGGAGTAGGCTCGATGGACTCAGACTTCTCAAGATCCATTTATTAACATCCAAGCTTATGAAGATCTGATTTTTAAACCAGAAATCAAGTGCATTCCTCTCTTCCAGAAGATGAAGCAGTCCTAATGCCCGCAAGCCTTCATGTACACGAGACGTTCATGCAGGGCCGGCAGGCAGGTCCTCCTCTCAGACCCAATTTCAGATCAGTAGGCTACTCCTGAGCATAGAATCAGAAAAGGAGAACCACAGACTGTGGAGGGATGTTTTAATGACACCACAGTAGGCAGATACCATTATCTTTCTCCAAATTGAAGAGGTATCACTCAATCAAATTGTTTTTTGAGCCCCGATACTGTTCCAAGTACTGGGTTATAATAATGAACGAGGAAGACGAAGTGCCCGTCCTCCTGGAGCTGATGCAGCCTGAAACAAGGACCCTTCCCTGACAGGATCACAGCTCTGACAGAGCTCTCCTGGGTGATGATGAGCCAACAGCATGTGCTGCTCCTTCCTTACTCCCGGTTATAACTCATCTCATTCTACAATAATTATTTTCCAAACACCATTCACACCTATCTCTGAACATTCTGTAGTCTCGTTTTCACCTCTCTAGTCACCAGATCTTGGACCTACAGGGGCCTCTCTCACTCAAATGGAGAAGGAGCACTTTGCTGACTGTACACGCCAGGCACCACACTAGGTACTTTTATCTGGATTATTTCATATGATCTTCGCACCACCTGGAGGGGCAGGTGTTCCTCTCCTTGTCTTACAGGTAAAGACACTGAAGTGCAAAGCAGCTTAGTAACAAGTCCAACTTAGAAACAGTGGAGCGGGGATGATGTGCAAGGCCCGGTCTCTCTGTACCAGGTGGCCTGTCATTCACCAACTCGGAAAGTCCATAACAGAATCCTCAGAGTAAAGCCCCAACACAGAAAGACACACACCTGGTGAGCACAGCGTCTCGGAGGTGGATTGGGGATTTCAACTTTGGTCCAGGTGTCCTTCTTGATATTATAGATATACAGTTCATTATACAACAAAGTCTGTAGAAAGGAAGAGGAGCTTTAGTATCACAAATGATGCTTCCACGCAAGTGACAGTAAGGGGGAAGGGTCTCCACCACTAGCTTTCCTACAGCAATATAAATCGTATCAATGCAGGGCACCGTACAGCTGGTCCCCTGGATCCTTTGGGATGATGACACAAAGAAAAAGAGTGTCTCTCCACCTGGCAGGGAAGGTGAAATTCTGCTTTTGTAACTATTTCATATACAATTCTGAAATACAGGTCTTTCTGGCCTGTTCAAAAATAAAAACGAGCTCTACAATTTATCAGCACTTTCCCTACTCAAAACAACTGTGGAAACCCATCATGAGGAAGAACAGCACGAACAATCAATCTGAATGAGCAGCGTGCTGGGCAACCTCAAGCAGGCGGTAAGAGGAGTGACCGCAAAGGTCACTAAAGGATCCTGGTGGCCTGTCAAGGACAACGTTGCATGCCAGTCCTGACAGCTTAGGAGGTGGCACACACAGGAGGGGAGTTAAAGCACAAATGCATATTTGGTATCTCTGCTTTAATTTTACTCCAAATGAGACCCACGGAAATTTGGGGGAAAAGAAAAAATAAATACTTTACTTTTTGGCCATTGAAATATTCACCTCCGAAAAGGATTAATTCATCTTTCTCAGGATGAGCAGAGAGCGAGGCATTTAACCTGCAAGAGTTAAAAGCAGCAGATCAATACAAACTGAACCACTTGATGCCCAGTGTGAGAGCCACACTCCTTTCCATCAGAGCTTCACCACGGAGGATGAGCATTTCGAAACTTTTGTGAAAGAGGAGCCTGGCGCTGAGAACAGAAGCTAAGCACCACCCTTAAAAGCAGCCTCACGGTCACAATACTAATACCCAAGTTCACCCTCCCAGGAGGGTCCGAGACCCAGGCTACTCACACAGCATCTGGCTAAAAATCATCAGGTTGTGAGAAGTCTCCAGGCTCCTTCTTATGTGCCAAATTTTCCAGAACTGTCCTATCTAAGGGTCTATCCACTTAAATCACAATCAAAACTGTTCTAAAAAGTCCAGTATTTAAGCATTTCAATTTCCATCCCAGATACCTTCCATCCAGAAAATGCAAATAATTTCTACTTATTTCACACGAGGACATAAGAATAGCTATAAGGAAATTATAAATACACCCTGACCACTTCAGTAGGACGTAAGGAAAGACAGTGACTGGGAGGGCCAATGACTGGAAAACACACTTCTTTCAAACTTCTCTAGAGTGGTGTCCCCTAAGATGCGTTCCATAACACTCATTCCAAAACCAAAAAAAAGGGCCGGCCGCGTGGCTTAGCAGTTAAGTGCACGAGAGCTCCGCTACTGGCGGCCTGGGTTCGGATCCCAGGCGCGCACCAACGCACCGCTTCTCCAGCCATGCTGAGGCCGCGTACCACACAGCAACTAGAAGGATGTGCAACTATGACATACAACTATCTACTGGGGCTTTGGGGGGGGGAGAAAGGAGAAGGATTGGCAATAGATGTTAGCTCAGGGCTGATCTTCCTCACAAAAAAATAAATAAATAAATAAAACTGTTTAAAAAAATTTAAATTAAATTAAAAAAAAGCAAAAAAAGTTTCAAGGTCAAGTAAGTTTGGGAAATCTGAAAACTCTATTTTTCTCTTGGAGATTTATTGTATACAGAAACATTTTATAAGCTGAGAAATTCTGCAGGAAAGAAACCAGTGTTAAAATAGTACAGCCGCTGTGGAAAACAGTCTGGTGGTTTCTCAAAAACTTAAACACAGAATTACCATATGGCCCAGCAATTCCACTCCTAAGTATATAGCCAAGAAAACTGAAAACAGGGACCCAGATACCTGTACCGCAACGTTCATTACAGCATTATTCACAATAGCCCAAAGACGGAAACAACCCAGGTGTCCATCAGTGGATGAGCGGATAAACAAAATGTGGTTTATCCATACAAAGGAATATTATTCAATCTTAAAAAGAAATGAAGTCCGGATTCGTGCTACGACGTGGACAAATTTTGAGGACACTATGCTAAGTGAAAGAAGCCAGTCATAAAAGGACAGATGTTCTATGACTCCACTCACATGAAACATCTAGTACAGGCATAGAGGGACAGAAGGTAGAGTGGAGGTCACCAGGGGCTGGGGGAGGGGAATGGGGAGTGACTGCTTAATAGGTATCAAGTTCTTGTCTGGGGTTATGAAAATTTTTGGAAATAGATGGTGGTAGTGGTTGTACAGCACTGTGAATATAAGTAATCCCACTGAATTGTCCAGTTAAAAATGGTTAAAATGGCAAATTCTATGTTATAGGTATTTTACCCACAATAAAAAAATTCAAAAAAAATGGAAACCAGTGTTTGCCAAAGGTCTTTGACCGTGCATCTTTTTTTCACTTAACACTTATTAATTTTCTGTGGAAAAGTAATGAACACAACCTGAGAAACAACACTTCAGTTTAGGCCCAGAGCACCCAAGTGTCACTGCCATCCAGACTGCACCCGCCACCTCCTCTGGGTCACAGATGCACAGGCACCAAGAAGCACCAATGCAGCTGAGCATCTCGTCTTCACTGCCCCATTAAATTACACCTGAGCAATACTTGGGGCTAGACACACTTACAAAACTTGGTAATCGTCATGGTTTTTTTCCCCCATAATAAGAGGGAGAGGCAGGAGATGAGAAGTTGCTAAGGTTACCAACCAATAGGTCTTAATCCTTTTACATCTTGGCTCCAAAAACTGCTCCCTTTTGTCAGGGAGCATTCGCAGCTGACCCAAGGAATTGCCAACATTTCAAATTATATAGTGGCATTAAACCTGTCTTTTTGGGAAACTTTACTTTAGAAAAAGTTCTCAAATATCATCCCCCCCAAAAAAATCAATCCACATTCAAAGTGGCTTCCCTCAGGAGCGCTGTGCATACGAAGTCTTAAAGATCTCAAGGATGGATTCCCTTTAACAATTCAAATGTTATCATGACTTTAAGTTTTCCACCTGTGATAGGCACTTTTAAAATAACCTTAGGAACCAAAGAAAAGCTCCTTGGGACAACACTTGATTCCACAAATTGTCACCAGTTGGAGAATTTTCAAACCTGGTGCAATGTCCCTGAGGAGCAGCTGTGCTGAGACCTTATTTCCATGTTTCTGCATGACAATAAAGCTGAATAGCCTCACTCCCCTTCTTCACAAGAAAGTGGAAAAAAAAAAGTTTTGTGGGAGCTGATCTGGAACGGGATTTTAACGACGAAAACGTCCCAAGTGCCTGGTTATTTATGAAAACATGGTGCCAATTTAAAGCAGTTTTCCAATTTATACAAGAAAAGGAAACTGCCAGAAACTCTAATGAAGAGTCCGTGCTCGCTTACCTTGGAGAAGGTGGAGAGCAGGGTGTTTCCACGATCTGAGTCTTTTTGGCATCTAGCGTCTGGAAGTGGGCTATGAGAGCTTCAAGGTCTTCCTAAAGGCAGACAAGCAGTCACACGTGAGACATTTTCTTAAATCCTACTACGTGGCCAAAAGCCTGTGTCAGCTTTCCACCGTCTACCTGACGTGACCAGGGTCCTGTCACATCCATGAGTTAGAACATGTTCCTTCCATTTTAAAGGCACAGAATCTGACACACGTAAAAATACTCAGAGCTTGACGGGCAGTATTCTTGGAAGTGTAGACACATGCACACTACAGGAATCAGCTCATTCCAAACCCTCACGCTCCCTCCGAAGGGCCTTCCACTTAGACAAGCCCACCCTGACTTCAGGCCAGCACCTCCAGCCACCCCCGGAAACCCAGGCCTGGGCCACCCTGTCAGCCTGCTTTGCTGTCTGTACGGCAGTGTCTGATATGTCTCTTGCTCATCTATTTATTTTCTGTTTCCACCTCTCTCCCACCAAAATAACAAAATATAAGCTCCAAGCGAGCAAGACTTGTTAGTCTGCTTAGAACAGCACCTGCTGGGTGGGGGCTTGGCAACTATCAACTCAGCCAATCTGTGTAAGGTCTCTATCGTTACAACTGCAAAGACAGATTTAGAAATTAAGGTGCCCATTGACCTGTACTGCGGGGCAGCACTAGAACCTGGTCTTCCTACCCCACCCCCCTCAAGCCAGTGCCCGTTTTCCTGCGTTTACTAGTGACCCCTGCCCCAACCCCAGGGATGCATGGCCTGTCCGTCATGGGGAAGGGCTCCTCTCCTTATTCTCTTCCTGAATGCTCACTCCCCTCACTTGCTCATGCTGAGACCTGGGATCTGTCCCACCTGCCTGCCTTCCCTCCTCCACCCTCCCTCTCACACATTCCTGGTTCCACATTCTGCACTGAGGGTAGGTTAGATGTCCTTCCTGCACCTACAGACACTTCCAGACCATTCTTCCTCCCTTGCCTCCCTCTCCAGCCTCACGTCCCACACCATCTCCTCACTCTCCTGGTTGCGCTGACTTCTTCTCAGTTCCTTTAGCCAGAACACCACACTCCCTCGGTCTGAACAGCTTACCATACCCGCCATCTCCCCCGTGTGTGTCCCCTTCACCTCCCTGGATGCAGCCACTGTCTGGAACGGGGTGCTCATTACTCACGCATTTCTTTATACTTTTACTACACATTATGTATCTCTAAGCAATATAGACTGATTTACATTTCTTAATTCCATGTAAATGGTCTCATATTGTACCTTCTCTCGCAACTTGCTTTTTTGCTCAACACTGCTGAATGAACAGTTTGATACTCTGCCTTCATTTGCTTTCACTGTGGCAGAGCTACCACCCCACACAGCTTCTCTATCCATCCTGCTTATGCACATCAGGGTCAATTCCAATTTTTCGTTTTTACAAACAAAACTACTATGGCCATTCTCGTACCTGTCTTGGTTTAGCTGGGGGCAGTTTTTCCAACGTAAACCTTTAGGCGTGTAACTGCTAGGCTGTAGCTTCCACTTTTCTAGACAAATCAGGGTCCAAAGCGGCTCTACCAATTTTCACCCTCACAGCAGTCCATGGAAGCATCTGTTGTCCTGCCACTTCTGTGTGGGTAGTTACCTAACAGTTGTCCTAATCCCTAACACCACATCCCTAACACAAAACACGCTGCATTGGGTACTCAAGACAAATTACTGAACACCTGGAACATTAAAGAAAAACCTGGAGAGAGAAGGGACTGCTGGAGTTGAGAGCTCTGGGTCTTGTGTCATTCACCTAAGAAATTATCCTCCTTAAGGCAGAAGGGAAGAGGAAGACAAGTGGGTGCAAGAAGCAGCGGGACCCAGGGGCAGCAGGTCTGAAGGAAGAGCTGCTGTGTGGGTCCTGGTACAAGCTGGCACTAGCGCCCACCAGGCTAGGTGGGCCCGCAATGCACTTCAGCCCACTCCCACGAGGACTGGAGCTTCCAGGGTGTCTGTGTTGGGAGCAGGCTTGGTCGCTCCATTCGTTAGGAGCACAGGCTCTGCCACTGGGTGACCAGCTTCAACTCCCACCTCTTCCACTTCTTGCCAATTAATCCAGTACCCTCTCCACATGCCTGAGAACAAATTCTTGCCAGACTATAATAAGGTCTACGAGCCAGGTGAGCTTCATTCCTACTCCTCTCAAGTAGCACGTCTCAAACAGCTGAGCATCACAATTACTGGCCTGGGGGCTAGTGGCACAGGTGGCCTAGTCAATGAAAGCCTCTCCAAGGTGACAATAAGCTGAAAGAAAAAAATGAGCCAGTCACAAGAAGAATGTGGCTAAGGGAGAGTCAAAGACCTGGAGCAGAAAGAACTGGGCATATCTGAGACACTAACAGAGAGCTGGTGTGGCTGGAGTGAGCTCGAGGAGAAAGAGCTGGAGAGGCAGGCAGAAGCCAGGATGAAGAACGGGGGCTTCAACATGGACAGTGCAGAAGGGAGAGGAATCCATGCAACAGCCAAGAGAAGGTGAGGTATCAACCAGGTCTCTGAGACATGAGTTCTGTGGAAAGCAGAACTCCAAGCTGTCCCCAAGACCCCCCTTCTTAGTCTCTCAGACGTGAAATGCTGAGACAGCACTCTCGGGATTAGGTTATGTTCCGTGACACAGCTGACTTTAAGAAAGGGATAGTATCAGGGGCTGGCCCAGTGGCGTAGTGGTTAAGTTCGTGCGCTCTGCTTCAGTGGCCCAGGGTTCACAGGTTTGAATCCGAGGTGCGGATCTACGTACCACTCACCAAGCCGTGCTGTAGTGGCATCCCACATACAAAATAGAGGAGGATGGGCATGGATTAGCTCAGGGCCAATCTTCCTCAGAGAAAAAAACGGGGCAGATTATCTTCTGCTGACCTAATCAGATGACCAGTGATACTAAAGGTTTGTTTTGAAGATTAATGGAGATAACATGCAAAGTCCCAGGTCCCAGACCTGACAGGCTCTCTCCACAGGGAAGCTACTGTTATAGTCATCCAAGTACTGGGCACTGTGGGGAGATAACGAAGATGAGTGAAAATCACAGTGAACAGTTAGTTACCGAGTGCTTACCAAGTGCCAAGCTTTCTTCTAAAGACACCACACAGACTAACTGGCTTCCTGTGCCACAACCCTACCACGCAGTGCACTCACTACCCCTATTTCACACATGAGAAACCAAGGCACAGAGAGGTCATGCTCCTCTGAGGTCTTCCAGGTAGTTGCGGCAGAGACGAGATTCAAAGCCACACCCTGTGGCTGCAGAGCCCGTGCACTTAACTGGTCAAGAACATGAAAACATTAGAGCCCAGAGACAGAGGGAGGCAAGAGACAGAGGAGGAAATGGAGACAGGAATATTTAGGAAGAAAAGGGCAAAGGAAGGTGGTCAAGAGCTCTGGACTGGGGACGTCTGGCCCAATTCCAGCTCCACGCGGGTTCACAGGGTTCACAGCAACCTGACCCTGAGCTGTGGAACCTGTCAGCTTCTGGTTTCCTGTCAGATGGGGACGCCAAAGCTACCTAACTCACTTGGAGTGAGGATTAAAGTCCAGACAACACAGTGCTGAGCAAACACTGATTAACCATTATAAACTGCCCCAGGCTAGGGATCCCAGGAGCGACGGTCAGCAGAAAGCACAATTCTCAACTCTAGGTTCACCCCTGATCCATCTGCAGACCCTGCTGTGGG